AAGAGTTGGATTCATGCCTTTCCCAAAGGTATTTACGTGTAAGTGAATATAACGAACCCAACGGGAATTGGAACTCGGTTATCCGATTAACAATTCTGAGCTACGCACACATCCAAGCTTACCGCATCTGGTATTCCCAAACAGTCACCCTTCTAGGTACTGACTAGGATCGACGTTGCTTAAATTCGGTGATCATACGGTGGTGGGAAAGAAACAGAGAGAGATTGTGAATGTGTATTTGCAAACATATCTGACAGAACAATTGGTGAACTGTTTAATGGCCACCGTAAAATCCGGTATTAATTAAAAAAAATAAAAGTATAAATAAAAAGTCCGGTGTTAGTTATAGGTTTTATGTATATTATTATTATTATTATTATTATTAAAGAAGATATCAGCACCCCTCACCCAAAGTGACGTTGGGGTACAAATCTAACTCAGTATACCCACATGTCACCCACTCTGATAAGCGTTTACCAGGCATATGCTCCATAGTCAAATGTGCACGGTATATTATTTACATTATTCGGACTATTGTCCTCATTATTGTCGCCATATTTATTACAACGTTTCGGTCGCTGTACGCTCCGGCCTTCTTCAGGTGGTTGGAATGTCGAACTGAACTCTTTATTTCGCTCACTGGGGTAGACTGTTCTAGTTCCACGTGCCATGTTTAATGGATGTCAGTTATCAGTTATCTCCTGTTAATTTTCCCTCTGAAAGTTCTCCACTGCCTTAACCGGGTATTTGAACTCACACTCTTTGGGTCCTGTCACTGGATCTAACCAACGTCTTTATTCACTGCACGACAAAGATGAGGACAATAGTCCGAATAATGTAAATAGTGTACATAATACCTCATCTCAGAAATATAGACAGATACTGAAAGGCCGAAACATTGTAATAAATATGGCGACAAAGATGAGGACAATAGTCCGAATAATGTAATGTACATAATACCTCATCTCAGAAATATAGACAGATACTGAAAGGCCGAAACATTGTAATAAATATGGCGACAAAGATGAGGACAATAGTCCGAATAATGTAAATAATGTACATAATACCTCATCTCAGAAATATAGACAGATACTGAAAGGCCGAAACATTGTAATAAATATGGCGACAAAGATGAGGACAATAGTCCGAATAATGTAATGTACATAATACCTCATCTCAGAAATATAGACAGATACTGAAAGGCCGAAACATTGTAATAAATATGGCGACAAAGATGAGGACAATAGTCCGAATAAATAATGTAATGTACATAATACCTCATCTCAGAAATATAGACAGATACTGAAAGGCCGAAACATTGTAATAAATATGGCGACAAAGATGAGGACAATAGTCCGAATAATGTAAATAATGTACATAATACCTCATCTCAGAAATATGGACAGATGTGCACGGTATGTTGTTAGGTTTTGATAAAAAGTAACGCATAACCTTGCAGGTGGGGCCCATTTAGAAATACCTTCAGGTCGATCAACCCTCCTCATAGACGGTCTCCGTTTGGGGGCGTTCCTACGTATCTAAATATGACTCGAGATTTATTGCTAAAAAATACAGCAATTATGCCACAAGGCCAAGTATCTAGATGTGACTCTCAAATTTCGAGATGAGACTCTCATGTTTCGCTGGCTGCTTTATTCTACAAACTACAAACTTAAAAATAGTCTCTGGTTATTGTTATTTTTTTTCTCTTCTTCCTGACGACTTTTCGTTTTCAATTGAAGAACTTGCCTTATGAGTGTTCTCTACACAATCGTACCATATCAAATATATCTGTTTAAGATCGATAAGACCTGATGGAGAATATAGCACCTTTCGCATAATCTTTGAAGGGTCAAGAAACGCAGACTTCTGAAACGATGGGTTTATTCCGAGAAAGAATAATTTAAAAAAATCTTACAGAAGTTAGTGAAGGAAAACGAAAAGAAAGGATTAAACATCAAGTGTTCGAAGATAGAATATATGGTTGTTAGCAAAAGGATAAGTCCAAAGTATGAACTGCAAATCACAGATACGAAAATGAAACAAGTGCAGAAATTTAAATATCTGGGAAGTGTTTTAACAGAGGATGGAAAGTGCAACACTGAAATTTGAAGGGATATTGGGATAGCCAAAGATGCATTTCAAAAGCTAAGCAGCGTATTAAGAAATAGAAAAACTTTGCAAGAAACAAGAAAAACTGTACTGAACTGGTACGTGATATCAGTCCTCTAATATGGCAATGAATGCTGGACAATTTTCTCAAAGATGAAGAATGTGTCTATTCTATTTTTGTATATCTGCTGACAAAGATGACACAGTGTTGATAGCAGACACGGAAAGAAAGACAGTGAAGGAAATCGAGAAGAAAGGATTAAACATCAACTGCAAGAAGATAGGTTGCATGGTTGTTTGCAAAAGGATGAATACAAAGTATGAATTAAAAATCACAGATACGAAAATGAAACAAGTGCGGAAATTTAAATATCTGGGAAGTGTTTTAAAAAGGGACAGAAAAAATATCGTTAGAAACAAAGAAAAACATTACTGAACTGTTACATAATATCAGTTCTCCTATATGGCAATGAATGCTGGAAAATCTCCTCACAGATGAAGAAGAGACTTGGAGCAACAGAAATATGGTTGTACAGAAGGATGCTGAGATTGTCATGGACCGAATATGTGAGAATAGTTTTAGAGAAAATGGAAACGAAAAAGAAAATTATATTTAATATCGCCTGCATACAGAGAGAAAATGAGTTCAGCAGATATACAAAAATAGAATGGGGTGTAAGACAAGGATGTGTCTTCTCACCGGACTTATTCAACCTCTACAACGAGGCGATTCTGAGAGAATTAGTAATCTTACTTTTGTTTTTTTCCCGCGCGCTTAAAAACAAAAGACTCTACTTGATTTCAGTGAAAAAAATGATTGAAAGAAAGAAAGAAAGAAAGAAAGAAAGAAAGAAAGAAGGGGAGATAACAATGTTTAACGTCTCCTGCAAATACCTCATAAATAATAGACTATTTCGTTTTGGTCACGTGGAAAGAGGGTACAAGACACCACTTGATTTCAGTGAGAAAAAGCAAGCAAGCTAGAAATAAAGAGTTTTAACGTCTGTTTCAGACAGAATTTCAATTTCAGATCTTTTCATTTGTACCCCCTTACTTCTTAAAATAACGACTAGCATTCATATTTATGATTGTTATTTCAATATTTTGTTAAAGTTATTAAGCTCAAAGATTTAACGATATGATAAGCTTTCTACGAATATTTTATTGTCGCAGAATTCGCCACGAGTTTACTCAGTCATTAACTTAACAATTAAGATTCATCAGAAAATTAAAAATAGGAAAACCATCAAATTTTCACGGGTTAAACCTAATTAATATCATTATTGGTACTGTAGAATTATTATTATCGGTACTCTAAAAGGGATTATCGTTACGGCGAGATACTGTTTTCATAAGGTAATCATATAGGATATTTTGACTATTAGTATTTCTCACTTGCTGTACCACCACTTGTTTTTTATATACTGTAAATTTCGCCATTGCTAAACTGATTTTGTAATGTACTAATAGCTTGTTTTAAATCTAGCATATACTAAAAAAAATTTCCCTGCTTAAATGGGAGTCCATCTCATATCCCGTCATATAACTTTTTCCCCGATGGTCACTTCCGACACATCCGACTCCATAATATTCTTTACCCAAACGACGCTGTCGTTTTGCAAAGATTATTTTTTAATTTTTTTTCTTTTGCACTGATTAGATATAAGGCTGCCTTCAACAGCCTTAGATAATTTTCTGTTGGTTTATGCTGTGCTAAACAAACGAACCTTCTACAACACATAAAAACTGACTGCAAAATGTAATGCTTTCAACAAATGAGCAAAATTCTCTGACACTGTTCCTAATTTTCCGATTACAATAAACATAATCTTTGCTATTCCATATTCTCTTGATTATAAAAGGAATTATCGTAACAAAGAATTGGTGAAATTCTGTTTTCACGTCAGATATTTCACATTTTCAATTTTACTTCTAGTTTGCTTTTTATATACAGTAATGGTTTCTGCAATAGTTAAAATGCTTTCGTAATATTTTGTACTGGATTGTTAGTTTTTTCCTTCAGAAGATCACTTAAAACTAGACTGACTCTATAATATTTTTTACTCAAAAGATGTCGATTATAGGATATTTTTATTTTGTTTTGCACTTTATTACACCCGCAGCTTTAGGTATCCAGTAGTTTTCTGTTCGTTTATGCTGTGCCAAACAAACAAGCCTTCTGCAACACATATGAACGCACTGGGAAATTTAATGTTTTCAACAAATGAACTAAATTCTCTGACACTGTTCCTCGTGTGCCGATTACTATAATGACAACCTCTACTTTTTGGCAATTCCATATTCTGTTGATTGTAAAAGGAATTATCTTAACAAAGTACTGTTGAAATTTTGGTTTCGTCTTGTAATCATATCAGATATTTCACACTTGTTATTTCTTGTTTCATTTCCACCTCTACTTCGAGCTTGCTTTTTATATACAGTAATCTTTTCTGATATATCTAAAATGCTTTTTACAATGTATTGATAGATTACTTCAAATATTGCATGCTTAAATACGCTAAAACTTTATTTTTGATTTCTCTCTTTCACTCACACATACACACACACACACACACCTAACTCCTGATTTCAATGAGAAAATGAAAGAAAAAAAGAAAGAAAGATATAAAGTAAGATACAAGTGTTTAACTGATGATTTCAGTGAAATGCAAAAGTTACCAATTTCAGATCTTTTCATTTGTACCCCCTTACTTCTTAATATAACTACCAGCATTCATATTTATGATTGATATTACAATATTACTCCCACATCTCTCTCTCTCTCTCACACACACACACACCTATCTATCTTTTGACCTCTCAACTCTACATATTGATGTCTTCTGTTAGTGTGGGTATCGCCGACTCGCGATGCCTGTCGCGTAGCTTCAGCACCGGATATTCCCCATTGGTCACTCATCTGAGTACTGACCAGGATCAACGTTGCTTAACTTCGGTGATCGGACGACAGAGGTGTTTCAACGTGATATGGGCTTTAATGTTTCCTGAATCTGCCCTGCTGAAGTGGGGGTTGCGTCCGTTTTGACCGCGCATCTTTGATGCCCGTCAAATACGGCACGGTTAGCAGCAGAGCGATCAAGACGCGCACATAGTGGCAAGGTTGGTGACGTTGAAACAGCAACAACAAAAAAGAAAAAAAAATGAAAGAAAGAAAATACTTATTTTAATTATTCCTCAATCAGCAGTATAAGTGTCAGATGAAACTAAAGTACCTGACTGTCCCCACCCGGTTGACATTCGTTCCGTTGTCTTTCCCCTCCTCCCTCTAGAAACCACATTTTTCCCTTCCTCTGCCGACTCCATTCTCTACGCCAATCGCCTTACAATTTCTCTTGTTTTATAAATTTTCTTAGTTTCTCTACCTAAGGAGACCTACAAGAAAACAAGGTCAGTTTAGATATTATTATTTCTTTGCTGTTATATCACACATGAGCCGTATTTTTAGACGTTTTCTTTCTGTTCAGCGCCAGAGGGAAACACGCACGTATCCGTTTTAACTTTTTTTAAAAGCATTTTTCTTAAGAGAAAAGAAAAGAAAAAAAAAGGAATAACACTTTCAGGCAGCCAATAGACATATGTACATATTTTTAACTATCCAGCTGTTCATATAATTTAAAACTAGAAGAAAGCAGACGACAGTTGAGAGAACTTTTAAAACCACGATGTTGTTTCTCCAAATTAAGCTGGATGTTTTGTCAGCAACAATATTGCAGTTTTTTCTCTTATTGAATTGTGGATATCTTCGTTTAGTAAATGGAGTACCTACAGGATCAAGTAAGTAAAAAAAAAAAATATTTGTCTCTCTAGTTTAAAAAAAAATGTCATATTTTATTGTATTTTTATCCTGAGCATACCAGCAAAGTCACAGCAACAATATCGCCAAGTTATAAAAAAATAGGGTAGAAATTAGAAAAATACTTGGATAGCCAGAAATATCGTCGTTAGTAAAAAAAAAAAAAGAAAGAAAAATCTCTTTTTTAGTATGGTTAATTTACCTTGCGTTTTTTTTTAATGTCATATTGTATTTTTGAGAATACCAGTTTTTGAAAGACATGATTTAACGCTAACAGCAAGATCGCCAAGTTGTATTTGATGTTCAAAAATAATGCCTATATAAAAATATATATAAAAATAATTAGGCCCACGTTTGCGTGTGTTTATATTTTTTATTTATTATGATATTAATTATCCCAATTTGCTTATCGTGTTTGATCAAGGGTACGTCATCGTTTATCAGGGCGATCATTTCGTCGAGGGTATGTCGCCGTGTATCTGGTGATATTTTAGTAGAAATCTTAATTTTATCCTCAATATTCCCAGATCTAAATGAGAAAGATCTCTCTCTCTCTCTCTCTCTCTTTCTCTTTCTCTCTCTCTCTCACACACACACACACACACACACACACACACACACACACACACACACACACACACACACACACACAAAAAAAAAAAAAAAAAAAAGAAAAGGACAAAAAAATTGTAGATGTGAAAAGTGATTCTAGATGCGATGTAATCTCTGAGGAAGCTCAGAGAAAGAATCGGCCGAAACACAGCGAATAAAACAAGAAAAATGAGGATATTAGTCCTAATAATTCATGAAATAGTCGCAATATAAACTTAGTCCCAGAAATTTTAGCATTACTGGGAAAGCCAGAGACATCACCGGCCGAAATAGTGATCAAAACAACCACGATTAAGATACTCATTTACTATGAATCTTTACCCAAATATTTTTATTATAATTTTTAAAAGATTTTAAAAAAATTTTAATTTTGATCTTTAAAATACTGATTTTTTTTTTATTTTAACTTTTTTTAAACTGTGAAAGTGTTTTTGAATTTTTAAAAGCTTTTTTTTTGTTTTATTTTTATTTTGCCATTTTTTTTTATTTTTAAGCAAATAAAAAACTTCTGTCCCACAATATTTGTTAGAAATGCTTACATATTTCTTACACTAAATGTGGCAACTATCATGAGACAGAAGTAGTATTTGGTTTTAATATTAAGAGTTTTTGTTATTTAATCTCTATCTGAATTTTTTTTATATTCAAATACTTGGGAAATTTTAGTTTTGAAATATGGCAGAACCCTGTTTACTTATGCGATAAATATTGGGGTGTATCAAAAGTATTTTCGTTTTTTTTTTGTATTTTTTTTAACACTCTGTATTTTTGAAGCTTGTGTTTTTCTTTTCTCTATATACTTTATATATTTTGATTATCGAAGCTCTTCTGAAAGCTTTTTAGGGTCGGTCTCTCATCTAGATTGCGTTTTAAAGAATCGTCACAGTCAAGCTCGATTTATTTGGGAAGGATATTAGAACAATCCTTAACTTATACTGGAAGCAGACCGCCTGCATACGGATATAAAATGAATTCAGTAAATATACAAAAATAGAAAGTGGCATAAGACAAGGATGCATCTTCTCACCGGACTTTTTCAACCTTCAAAGTGAGGCGATCCTAAGTGAATTCAAATTCCTACCAGGATTAATTATTGGCGGTTACAGTTTTAACAACGAAAGCTACTGGAATCCATGCAGAAGGTAATAAAGGAAAGAGAGAAGAAAGGACTAAACATTAATTGCAAGTAGACATATTGTATGGTTGTTAGCAAAAGAAATTGCTCAAGATACGAACTATGAATTGAAAACATGGAAATGGCTTCTGTTATAAATTATAGGCATTTAAGGATATTTGTCGAAATTTCATAGTTTATTTTGTTCAGGTTAGGTTTCAACTGTTTTATGTATAAAGCTTCAAGAATTTTTAATTTTCGTTTATTGTTTTTATGTTTAAGAATAGTTGTTAGCAAAAGAAATTGCTCAAGATACGAACTATGAATTGAAAACTCCGAATTCAAGCAAGTGCACTAAATTTAGATATGTAAGGAGTATTTTAACAAAGGACGGAAAATGTGACACCGAAATCCGAAGCAGCATTGGAATAGTAAATGATGCCTTCCAAAAGCTAATCAAAGTATTAAAAAACAGGAAAAAAAATTAATTAGAAAAAAATTAAAGAGTACTAAATTGTTATGTAATATCAGTCCTACAATAATCTCCTCACAGATGAAAAAGAGACTAGTCAACAGAAATCTGGTTCTACAGAAGGAAGCTGTGCATTCCATGGAGGAACGTATGTGTATAAAGGAAGTTTTACGGAAAATGGAAACAAAAATGACTCTTATAATTAAATTCGGAAAGAGTCTGTTGAATTTTTTCATTATAAAGAAAGAGGACTTAGAGAATTTGACACTCACGGGGCATGTTGAAGGCAAGAGAGACAAAGGAAAGCAGTGAATAGCCTCACCTAACGAGTTTGTGCGAATGGTTGACAGAATCAAGGATTCGGGGAGATAACAAAAAGACAAGCCTTAGAAAGAGTTTAAAAAAGGCAGGAAATTGCGGAGAGTCACGAACGCCCACGTTCTGAAGGGGCACGACAGATAGAAGAAAAAGAATTATTTGTTATATATATATATATATATATATATATCACTCTCAACACTACACGTTCAATTTTTGGGAATTGTGGATTGAGCACTTTCTTAAAATATTTTTCCAATGGTCTGACCTAATATTTTTATAGATTCCTATATCTATCTATCTCTTTCTTTTTTTTCTCTCTCTCTCTCTCTCTCTCTCTCTCTCTATATATATATATATATATATATATATATATATATATATATATATATATATATATATAATGTCTGGTTATCATGTGGAACAACCCAAGATGAGAGCTTTTTATGCGCTCCTGGGAGGTTCTCTTTTATTTTGCGTTTTAAAGGATCGTAATTGACATCTGATGGTTGTCCATATTTGGGAATCTCCTTTAAGGGACAATTCACTAAAATGTATTGAATAAATCTTTTGTTTCCTTCTACTTACCAAATTCTGTGGACAGTTTCAGTGGTTTGGGGCCTAGTTTAAAACAATAACTCAAAGTTTTAATGCATTTATCCGCTTTTATAACATCTGAAATGAAAGTGACGTTAAACTACACCCGGCAGCAAGGTCGGGAGGTTTTGAGGAGCGTGGAACCACTTTTTAATTGCTGTTTTTCCTAGGTCCACCCTGAACCGGGGTGGTAACACCTGTTAGGGTCCTAGCTATGAGCAAGTAGTTGACCTCCAAACTGGGATCAAAACACTATGAAAGTATAAATACATTTTCATAGTAAAAATACCAGCAATACATTTTTATAGTTAAAAAAATTTACCAGAAATACATTTCTGGAAAAAAAAAATTACCAATAATATATTTTTTGTAAAAGAAATTACTAATGCTCTCAAGAAAATTAAATTTCAGCATTCAGTGACACATAAGTAGTTGAAATGCCGTTAAACAAACAAGCCAGAAACGAAAGGTACCGATGACTACTACTACTACTACTACTATTCAGTGACCACAGGTAGGATGTCAGACACAACAATGTGAAATCAAAGGAACTTGCAGAACATTTTCTGAACAATTGATTGTAATTTTGACCAGCATCTTAAGGTGCATATTCTGAAAAAACATTCAGAATCTTTCGATCCTTAAAATGTAGGAGGATAGTTACGTATGCAAATTACTAACTTACCAAGCCGGGCGAATGAACAGAATGATATGAGAATTCCATGAGATTTATACTAAGGTGTCTGAATAATTCCTCTTAGTAACTAATCAACTAACGGACAATTCCAAGCTGAACAAGATCACCATGATATTAAGCACGATTTAGTTTCATGCCTTCACGCTGGAGGAGTTTCATTCGTTTTTACGCGTCTATTACCAGTACAGCCATTTTTTATTTTAAGACAAGCAATTGTACAAAGGCTTCTAAATTTTTGTAGAGTTATATATTTTTATAGTTGAAATTAAAAAAAAATGACTTAAAGACATTCTGTTGAAATACTGTTTTACATCGTCAAACATTGTGTTTTTTCTTTTGTTAAAGCGCGCTTTTCTGTTGAAAGAGTTA